ATTTGTGAAAATGGGGATTTCTAATGAGTTCAGTACATGACTCATCTTTTTAGTTATCTCCACACGGTCCATTTGGTTGCCATGACGCTGCTGTGACTGGAAATAAAAGGACTAGGGCCATTTACAGCCACCTGCCATGAGATTAATGGCAGGAAATATGTCCTTTGTTATTCCTCAGTTTGTACATCTGTCTGCTCCTATGAGGCTTTTTCCCCTTTCCTTCCCCCTTTGGCCCCGTTTTCTTTCCCGTACCTGTCTTCACTGAGCTAATCTCGCTCTGGATGTGATGTGAATACACACAGCTCGACTGGTAATGCGTTCTGGTTTACTCTGAAAAGAGACGTTTGGTTCTTATCCTTCTTCTTCTCTGAAATGTTTGGTGACAGGGGCCAAGATAAAGCAAACAGGATCATTTTCTCACTTTTCCTTTTTTTTCACATGATCTGAGCTGATAAGGATGGAGATATGTTTAGCTGCTTGATTATCAGGGTAGGGGGTTTTGTGTTGTGTGTCTCAGATGGTAATCACATCTTAGTCAAACATTGTAAAGTCTGACAACCACGCTGTGATGCTCCTGTTGTTTATGGCTTTAGCAGATTTAAAAATGTAACCTCTACCCTGTTATCTGGCATGAACATTTGACTAGTTTCCCTCTCTTTACAGTCTTTATAAAACAAATAAATGATCTGTGTCTTCCTGATCTGATTATCTGTTCCTATAACACGAAGACAAGACATTTCTTAGTTTTATAAAGACCTTAAAGAGGGGGAAACTAGTCCAATTTGCATGCTGGTTCAGTATCTTCATAATCATAATCATGTTTATCGCAGCTGTATGTATACGCCAAATTGCAAATCCACTTTACCACATCCAACTCCCTTTTGTCCGCTGTCTCTTTAAAAAAAAAAAAAAACATTTACAAAGGGGCCATTGCATCAGAAGAAACAATGCAGACCTGTCTTTTACTTTATTCCATTACCCCCTCCACTCTGTCGGTCTATTTGACCTTCTCCAATTATTCCATATTAATGCTTAGAAATTTTACACAATATTTGCTGAGTTTCACCTTGTTTATTACTCCTTTTTTAATACTCTGGGGTTTATGACAACTCAGTTTGTTAGGTAGATTAAATAAATTCTTTGTCTACTAACACTCATTGATTTTGTCGACTCATCGACTTGTTGATTTAATCAAGTTTCTTCACAAAGAATCACGCAAACACACCTGTCCTGTGTTTAACAGACAGATTCTCAGAAGGAAATGTTTCAGCATGAAAATGGTACATTAAAATTACTTATTGACTGAAGAAATCTTAGTTCAACTATGAATTTTTTTTATATATTACTCAGATTACTCCACTAAGAACATGGATATTTCCCTTGAAAAAGTGTTATCCTCCAAGTTATTGACCATGCTGTGGCCTCACAGCTGTAACAGCATGGAAATATCATTCATCACCTTTTAAAAAGCTTTTATGAAATGTTCCCCACTGCTGATTTCCCGCCAGGGTTTCTTTTCCACCACTGACAGCGGTGGAAGAAGTACTCAGATCTTTTACTCAAGTAAAAGTAGTTTAAAAACAGTGATAACATACAAGTACAATCCCTGCTTTCAAATTGTAACTGGGAGCGATCAAGACCATTAGCATGATAATCTACTTGATGAACAAAATCAGATAGATTGAACAAAATAAAAAAATACCCATTATAAAAAATCACCCCCTAATTTCAGAATTATATTTATTTGACCATTGAATTATCCTAATTATCGTGTTCATCCCTCCATGACACATATTGCATGTTTGTCCGTCTTATCAGAGGAATCCCTCGCTCGCTCTTGCATTTTTCACTTATTAATTGGGGTTTTTAGGGGGGGGACATTTTCTATTTTGGCTGTAAGGTTCTAAGGACAGATGATGTAGCTTGCTGTATGCATTTGGAAGCCCCCAGACAAGTTTGTTATGTGTAAAATTGGGCTTAATAATAAAAAAGTATTCCATTTGATCACTTTAATGTTGCAGCTGGAAAGTGAAGCACCTTTGTATTACTGGTGAGTGTAACCTATAATAATATGTGATCATTTAGTATATTTTATAATAATAATACAGGCTGTGAAGAAACTAAATCCGTCAATTTGTGGTAAAAGCATGAAGTAACTTGAAATAGAAATACTCATGTAATCAGTTATAGTTATAGTCCACCACTGAATATTGATCCATATAACTGCTTTCCATCTTCTTTACTGATGCAGCTCTCACTGCCTTTTATAAGCCGCAGAGATGGTTACTATGACACTGCTGGGGTCTCTGGTATGGCACAGCCAATAGGAAAGCAGCTCAGCGATCAGATGACCTGAAGCTATTTTGAACAGGAGCTGTATGTGAAGTGAAGCAAGCAGCTAAATTAGAGACACAACCTAATGGCATGAGAGGTGAAGAAGGAGAAGAGAGGGAAGGGAGGAGAGTGTCAGAAATGAAAAAGTGGAGGACATTTTTTCTTGCTTGTTCTGTCCGTCATCGCGCTCTGAAATGATTTCAGGGGCAGGGAGTAGAGAGGTTATTGATCAGTCGCTGTTTTCTCCCCTCGTTCACATATATATTATTTGTATGTGCTGATGAATGCCCCTTACTGTTTCCTTTTCCTCTGATTGTATGTGACATGAATCAACTGGATGACTCACATACACGTATTTGTCCACTATCACACTTACACTCACAAAGGGTAATCCCTCCCACTCTCTTTCGCACTACATGTTGCTGCATCACATGCTGTAGTGAGCTGGTTTGTCACATGTTGTTTCAGACGTCATTCTTTATTCTTCAAACATATTCCTGTGGGTTTCCCATCAAGGTTTGTTAACCTTCACTTAGTCAGCGATTATGGTTTTGATGACTCACAGCTGGTTAATGGGGGCGGCTGTTAATGTGCTCATTAGATGCTGCATGCCACTCATAAGCTCATTCCTCCTACCTGAGGGATGCCTCCTCCAGCATTTGAGTGAATGTAACAGGAAGTGGGGATGGTTTGTGGAAGCCCGAGGACGCCTTGAGTAGCTAGCCATCGCCTTGGCAACAGGGAGTGTCTGCATTTAATGTGCTGTTACCAAGTCACAGAGCCTTGAAGCAACAGGTGGCCGAGCTAGAATCAACATTTGTGTTTATTGTTTTCGTTTTAAATCATACAGAGATGCATGGATGGTAATCAAAGGTATAGAGGCAGTTTCATCACACATACATACATGTGCAAACACGCTGACGCACCACACACATGTTTCACTCATCAACATATGACCAGTCTTTCTCTCTGGATATATTTAGACCTTCAGGCGCACTCGGCTCACAATGTTTCTCTTGAGGAATGACATCAAGGACTCTTTCATTGATTCTTCTCATGGCATTTTACTTTTATCCCACAGTTGGCTGTTGAAATAGAGACAGAAAGAAGGCTGAGAAAGAGAGGGTGATGACCTGCAACACAAGTCCCCCTCCAAATTCCAACCAGGGATATTGCTGCTTTAGTGTATTGTCTTTACCACAAGGCCCCACTGGGACATCTCACATTTCTTTTTATCTTTATAATAAGCATACAAAACAATTCAGACAACAGCAAGTTGGCTGCAATGAACCAAGAGTATGGCGCAGGGCTGGGTATCAAATCTCAGGACTTAAAAGAGTACTGCACTGATTTAGTATCGCTTTAAATGCTCGCTATGACACTTGGGCATGTATACTTTTCCTTTCCTTTAACAAGTCTTGATGTTAATTTGCAGGTTTTCCAATTCAAGATTTTATTTAAGGTCTTCATTTAAGGCGCTGGGCAGTTCGAAGTATTTTCTGAAATGGAAAGAAAACATTAGAACATGTTTATATTAATTTATATTACACATTAAGGTATCAGTAATTGTATTGTTTTGGTATAAACACTAAAACTCATGGTCTCATGCAAAGATTCGTTACAATACGCAGCCCTTGTGCAGAGATATATGTGTTGTACTCTACTGAAATCTTGGTGTTGTCTGACTAATCATGCAATGGGAATTTTCATCATCATTGCATATGGTGTATGTCATCTTTGCGCATTCTCACCTCTATTTTAATAGCCCACACCTAGTGACTCACTTGTTCTGCCTGGCACATTCAGCTGTCCGCATTCTTGTCGGCACCTCCTACAAAGCGCCAGGCAGCCTGTCAGCTGAAAAAATTAAAATAAAACAGCAAGAAGAGAATAAGTGGGATTGTTATATAAGTTGAACACTCAAACACTTGAGAACAGAAGTTCAGGCTGCCTCCCTCTCTGCTGAACAGTACAGTAGGCTCCCAGTAGGCTCCCAGCAGGCTCGGGTTTTTATTGTGGTATGGGTGTCTGGATGAGGGTCAGCAGAGTCAAGTTACTGTACATGAGTGGTGGATGTGTTGGAAACTATAGCCACTTCATGTGAAATGAATAACCCCACTAATATTATAAAGAGTCCACGGGTCATTTTTTTTTCTCTCTATCTCTTTTTCTGTCTCTACTTGACACTTCCACACACTGAATATGTTGTACTTGTGCAAAAAACTAAACTGCTTGGCCTCACTATAGCTGCAGTGGAAATGTTGGCCTGTTGTTATGCATCAGCTCCACCTCAAATTACACAGAGTCAGCTTTCATGTAGTATGAAGGCCGAGGCCCCCTTTGTGTCTTTGTAGGTTATGCTTCTTAAAGCAGGCTTGACATTTTGACCACAAATGAAATTGCAAAGGCAGAACCACAATCGTTCTTCTTCACGCTCAAGACGAGAAAGGTGGATTTAAAGGAACAGGAGAACACTGGGAAATCTTAAAGATGAACAAAAAGGTTGTCGGGTTAGACAGCAGACATTCAAACATATACCCAGACTGCACTGAGTTCATCACAATTGACTCAGTGTACTCCGGTTGATGCTCCCTCCAAGGGTTGATTCCTAACAATGTTGTCCTTTTCTCCTCCTTACCTTTATTTAAACTTGTTATGCATTTCAGGGCTCGGCAGACTCCTACACGAGCCGGCCTTCGGACTCAGACGTGTCCCTGGAGGAGGACCCAGAGGCTCTGAGGAAGGAGGCTGACAGACAGGCCCTCGCCACGCTCGAGAAAGCAAAGGTCAGCGATAAACTGTTGTATCTCCACCCGTAATGGGAAGTATTAGTTTAATAGTCATTCTTATTGCATAATCTTCACATCAATGTTGTGTTTTGACACTAATGAACCTCATCCCCTCGTTCAAAGGGACACTAAACTCTGTGTTGTATTGAGTTAGCATCTGTATACTAATATCTGTGTTTCCCATCACTGCTCCAGACCAAACCGGTGGCGTTTGCTGTGCGGACAAATGTCGGTTACAACCCCGGCCCCAGTGATGACGTTCCTGTGCAGGGCATGGCCATATCCTTCGAGGCCAAAGACTTCTTGCACATTAAAGAGGTATGAACTTCTCCGACTCTCCAAGGAGAACACACCTTGGTATGGAAAAGCACGTTTTGGTACGGAAAAGTATAGCACTAGAGCTGTTACTGTAGTTAGAAGTAAAAGTCTGTACTGATTCATCCTGAACTAAAGGTAAGTCACAGGCTGCAGGATTGTGTAGGGGGAAACAACAGCAGGTCTTGGAGAGTCAAACAATTGGCAGTGATGATGGGATCATGTTTTATTGCAACTCACTGCACCGTCTCCTTCTGTCAAAACCCTACCCAGGCCATGAGTGGGTGTAAGCACTAACAAGAGCTGCAGAGCAAGGAGAATTGAGTAAAACACATTTGGCGGAATAAGGAAAAAAAGTAAAGTGATACAAGTATTGTCCTACTTTCTGAATACAAATATTTTGTTCAATTAGATAACATTAGTTTACTGACATCAGGCATAAAACTTATTTGCAAGAAAGTGTGCCTCATTGTGCTCAGGTTCACATAGGGCTACTACTTGATTCAGCAACCTTATATTGCAATAGTGCAACTGAAAGCCTGCATTCTAACTTTCCCAAAACAGCTTTGAGGGTAAGAGGAAGAATACAAAGCACATTTAGAGTAGGCAGTCATGAAACAAGCAACACAAATCATTGCAGACTCAACATCCTCTCTTCTCTGAATACGAACCTTTGCCACCAGGAGGAAGACTTTGTGTGGCAAAGTGCAAAACCACATCACTTAGCGATGTTTGGTTCATGGTTTGACTCAATGAGGCTGAACCTAAGTGCATTTGTGCAAAACAGCATTTTTGTGCTAAGCACTTGTGCACTTCAATTCTACCAGTTTTTGGTGTTTTCATGTTATTTATGTAATGTTTGGTCATTTAAGGCAAGATTTCCATCTCAGAAAAAGTCAAGTTTACTCTAGTCTAATCTATTCTACTACAATTGATTGTACTTTAGGCTTTCTGTACTATGAACGGTACAGTTCTGTTCTATGTTTTTCTTAACTTTAAATATGATATGCTGTTATTATTTTATTGTTAACGATGTCTACATTTATGAAATTGCATACAATTCATTGTTCCTTGCACTGTCCATGTTATTTCAAATGTGTACCTTTTAATTCAACCCAGTGATAATGCATGTGAAAAGAAAAATGCTGGTACATCATTGGTTACAGATGTCTGTCTCTTTGCAGAAATACAACAATGACTGGTGGATCGGACGTCTGGTGAAGGAGGGCTGTGAGGTGGGCTTCATCCCCAGCCCGGTCAAACTGGAAAACACCCGCATGCTGCAAGAGCAGAGGATGAGACAGAACCGACTCAGCTCCAGGTAACTGTTGAAGTCCCTCAGCAGCTCCAGGATCAGCGTCACAAACAACAACCACACTTTTCAAAACAGGTCAAACCTGAGTCACACATCACCCACCAGGCAATGTAAATCTTCCTTAAATAGACACAAGCACTGCAGTGAGTCACCGTATTCCACTACAACTACAATATGTATATACTATAGATTTCTGAAGTGTAGGTTTTTTATTTTATATTTTCCAGGAATGTATGTGTGTGCTTGACTATCCTTCACACACACATCATCAACACATATAACAATAACAAGGGTTGATGGGATTCTAGTATATCATTTTTACAGGGAGTTCACTTCATTTCTTTAAGCTGGGGGAGGTACTTTATTTTTGGCAGGATTGGGAAAACATTCCTTAATAACCTTTAAGCTTATTCTAATTGAAGTGGTGCCACGGGGTATGTTGTTTTCTGGAAAATAAAGGAGATTTTCTAAAGTCTGAAAACTGAGCCAAGAGGAAATGCAGAATACAAATGTTCTCTCACACAACTTGAATTACAATAATATTGTGGAACTGTAGCTTTATGAAGCATAAAACACGTCGCCTACCCAAACTTTAATTACTTAGATGACATTTTTCTCAAAGTCAGAAGCTCATTCTGGCTTTTTCCAAATGTGTTCTCTTCACTATTTGTTACCAGAAGGCCAATACAGCACTTTAAACTATGAGGAGCCCCCTCCTGGCGGGAGAAAACCTAACATATATTATTTGTTGGTAAAAAATAAACGTCCTGATGATTACTGCAGTATTGTGAAGCTATAATTTGGTCTTTACTTTACCACAAAAATAACTTTCGCTTTTTCTTCTCCAATAATAGTAAATCTGGAGGAAGCTCCAGTCTGGACGTTGCCACGGGAACCCGCAGGCCCACCCCACCTGGCACAGGTGAGGTCAAGGGGGTCTCCCTCTCTTCTGTCAGAATAGTGACTGTGTGCGTGTTTATGTGGGTGTATGTGTGCAATCCTGACACAGCGTGATGAGACAGGCGCCTGATATTTAGATGAAGATTTTAATTGGCTAGTTAGTCAGGCATGATGATGAATCACGGCACATCTCAGTGGGTTGCTCTGTGATGTGAGAGAGGTCTTAGGAGGTCTGTCATTAGCACACAGGACGGCACTGAAATAGAGCTGAGAATGGACCTCACTCATTTAACTTGACAAGTATGTCTGGCTTTTGTGTGTGCATCGCCAGGACGACAGAGAGCTGCTCGATATCCAGAGAGACAGCCAGAGATAGAAGTGCAAACATGGGGAACATACTTTGATAGACATTAAGATTTTAATTAAATAGAGCAACTTTATTGAACAGAAAACCTGTATACCGGAAAGCACATCTGTCTAATATACCTAGTTCACCCTAAAGTAGGTGATCTCACCTAAAGAAACATTTTTGACATTTTAGGAATCATGCTTATTTAGACAATGGATTATATTTGGATAATGGATAGGTGTTTTTAACTTGGCTTTGATGATATTGGATCATTGATCATTAAATCATTCTATCAATCCAGATTGTTGGATCCTTACACACACACACACACACACACACACACACACACACACACACACACACACACACACACACACACACACACACACACACACACACACACACACACACACACACACACACACACAAATAAACAGATGGCTCTGTTCAAAGGTAAATCTGGCTATCAGCACCTCTAAAGGTCACTAATTAAAATAATAAAACACGAAACCAGAGTATGTTTTTTTACACTGAAACAGATGAGATAGAACATGTTCATTATTGAGCTTTAGGGGTGCTTGAAGATAGTATTGTTTTTAGACAGAACCAGTTTAGCTGTTTGATATTAGAGTGGTATAATTCTCCTCATCTCTCAATTTTCACAAAGCAAAAAAAGTGTGTTTCACAAAGCCCTACACACTTCCTTTAAAACTGGACACCTGCCAGCCTTGCCTGCCCTTCCCCCTCCACACCTGACACCCGATTCACCAACTATAATCCCAACACACATCTATTTCCAACACCCATCTTCCCTCTCAGCTTGATTCCTTCTTTCCTTTCTACTACTTTTCTCGATTGTGCAGCCCCTGCTTTACACATCGACACTCCAAGTTCTGTTGCTTTCTGTCCACTGAATCTATTCTGTTCATGCTATTGTACCTTTCATCTGTGCCTTGCTTAATGGAAATCTGGTCTGTTCTTTTTTTAAACTCTTTCTATGTTGTTTCCACTTTAAATCATATAATATCACCTTGTTTTGATCTCAATATATACCATCTCTTCCATGCCTCTTTCTGGATGCATTTCACATTCTCTTGACTCTTTCCCCTTTTGCGTTTTCTCCTCTCTGATGTCTCCTATCTCATCCTGTTTTTACTTTGCCCTTTTTTGCTCTCTCTCTCTCTCTCTTCTTTCCCTTCTTCCTTGTCTGTTTTCGTCTTCTCTCTGCACCATCCCCCCTCCGTCAGCTCACATGGATATGTCCAATATGGCCTTTGACGTTGACCCCCTGGACCTGGATGCTGAGGAGCCCCCTGAGTCCCAGGGTGACCCTCGCTCCTCCAAGGGCATGTCAGGCAGCGTAACGTCCCCTCAGGCCAACGCCCACCGACTGCCCTTCTTTAAGAAGGTAACATTAGGGCTACAGGACATCGCCAGACCCCCTCCTGCATCTGTCCCCTCCAAGATGTGTTCAGCTCTAATCTCCTCTTCCCCTCTCACTAACCGCTCACAACTGAACTTTCCCTGCCTCACCTGTAGCTGGATCAAAACCTGTTTAGCCCCTCAGGCTCTGGTCTTGACAGTAACACTGATATATGTATGTTTGTTTGTTTGTTTGTTTGTTTGTTTGTTTGTTACTGTGCCTGCTAGCTGGGAGAGGCATTAAACTAACTGATACACTCTGAAATGGCTGCTGCTGCATATCCGTCTGAATCTATTTTAAAATGAAGCCACAGGAGGCATTCATTGTAAACTCTGTTTTAATCAATAACAGCTTCTCTCCCCACTAATCCTATCATGTCAATAACTAAATGTGCTTTTGTGTTTTGTGCTTTCTTTTGTCCCTTCTGGCTTTTGTGTGGAATGGTACTGTAGGTGGTCCAGCTAAACAGAAACAGAAGTCGGTGAGTGTGGTTCGATCTTAACCCCAACCTCTCACATTTCTGACTCCTCGTCCTCTGTTGTGTCATTGTCCCATTTTCTTTCTTGTGGTGGTACGCAATCAGTCTGCGGAATATTGGCATATTGGCATATTCACAGGATAATATATATATATATATTGTATATCACGGTTTGTCATTCCCCAGAGCTTGTCTCACAGCTGTCAGTGTGCAGATGCAGGCGCAGCTCCATCCCAGACCCTGTTAGTCAGAGTGTAACAGTAATACATCCTGACATGCTTTCATTTCCATTTATGACGGATGATTTAAGCGACGGTAGCCGACAATCAGCAGTTTTCATGCTTTTCAGCACAATTTGAATCACACGTTAAGGCTGCAGAGCAAAGACATGTTATGATAGGAGTGACAGACATTGGCCTTTAACTCATCATTCAATTACTGCAATGTAGACTGGATATCTGTGAACCACAATATCTCAACATTAGCCTTTTCTAACAGATTTTAAAACAAAATCGCTGTGTTCCCACGGTTCCTTAAAAAGTATAAATATACTTATGTATCTTAATGGTATAGGATAATAGGATCTTATGAATTGACATTTTATCTGCGATTGGGATGTACTGTCTGTTCGATTGCAACAACATTTGGAAATGTTTTACACTAATATTTAAGCAAAACTGTCCATAATTTCCCAAAAATATCTATAATTATGGCTGTTGTAATGTTTAATTACATTTCTTTTTTGAGCAGCAAAACATTAATTTTTGCTGCTCAAAAAAGAAATGTGTTCACTCTGTTTTTTTAAATACAATATCTGCAATTTGTATTTTTTTGAAAGATCTGATGTTAAAGAGTGACAATAAAGTGTAATATTGAACTATCATCCAGATCTATATTATGTACACCCTCCTCCATTACTCACCACACTAAATTGTGCTCCTGTTATTCCGAAGCTATTGTTATGTCCAGTGCTCCTGCTCTGCCCCTTAAGAGACGAGAGCCATTTGGAAACTTTTAAAATATGTATTTTTAGCTTCTGTGAATACGAATGAGGTGAAATTAGCTTCCGTTGCTCCGCTTTATGTAATGTAATGTAGTGGAGCGGAGCACTCCAGCACTATCTCCTGCTTGAAGAGCCTCACAGCGGACATGGACGAGGGGGCGTGCTTGGAATACCAATCTAAAAAGAAATCCATCCAATTTCAATGTTCACAAAGCATATAGGACTGTTTTCACCCCACTCTCATTGAAAACCGACGGCTTCCAAATAGGACAAATGCTTATGAAGTCCTTAAAGATGAATCATTCCTTTCATGTACAAATAAGCCTCAAGTTCATGTGTCGCATTATAGATTGTGTTTGTGTGTGGGTGTTCTATATGAGTCCCTTTCATGCTTATAGGTTTATCAATCTTTTGTGAAAATGGCTTAATGAAATCCACAGGCTGAGGATGTACAGGGTTCTTTAGACGGGATAAAGACTAAACTGAACTATGGAGAAAACACTCCGATTTGTTTCATTGTTTGTGTGTACGGGTTTTATAAAGCCTTCACAGACATTTGTGCGATGAACACATTATGGTTGGTTTCAAGCTTAAATTGGAATTGAGGATAAAAAAAACAAATAGAAAAACATACAGTTTAAATCCAAATGGAAAAGGAAGTGCATTCTTACTATAAAACTCTCAATTCAGCATTTATTGGCAGTAATACATTGACAGGTGCTGATGCACAACAAAAAAAGGAAAGTGTGAAGTGTGACGCCTGTGTTAGAGTAGCAGCTCGTCCACGAGAGCTTTCCTGACACCCTAGCGTCTGGTGGTTTAATTATGGACACTAATTATGTAAGAATGCAGACTAAGAAATAGAAGCGAGTGCTTTCAGAGAGAAATTGATCCCCGTCTCTGACCATTCATAGCCAGTCAATAAAACCAATGGACTCCAGCATCTAAAAACCCACAATCCATCAGTCTGACTGCTCACAGAGAGGGCTTTTGGGTTGAGTTAATGTGGATTTATGTGTGAGTGTACACCTTTTCGAGCTGTTTTAAATGCACGCGCAGACGCAACGTAACGGCCTCGCTCACCCTAATGTTTGTGCTCTCTTTTTTCTCCGGCTCAGATGGAGCATGTTCCCCCCTACGATGTGGTTCCCTCCATGAGACCCATCATCCTAGTCGGACCATCACTCAAAGGATATGAGGCAAGGAGAAAAATAAGCAAAATTCTATGTACCTTTATTTAACACTAGAACTGCCAGAGATTTTTTATACCTAAAACCGCCACCTGGGTCAAATTGACCCGCTATTAGAATGCATTGATTTTCAAGGTAAAATGTTCTTTTATTGAACAGAGAGTTTTGATCGCACAGGGATGAAACGTATACCAATATAATCTGTGGACTCTCAGGGCTCGACATTATAAATGGCCCGCTGGGCAGGAAGCATTATTTAGACACCGCGGCCAGCATAACGTACTTTCAACTCGCCCCACAGCTGTTTGCTGCGGAGCGCAGTGCGAGCAGTCTCCCGTGAGCTATCTCTCTCTCTCTCTCTCTCTCTCTCTCTCTCTCTCTCTCTCTCTCTCTCTCTCTCTCTCTCTCTCTCTCTCTCTCTCTCTCTCTCTCTCTCTCTCTCTCTCTCTCTCTAACTATCTATAACTATCTATCAATATATCTATCCATCTATCTATCTCTCTCTCTCTCAATCTATCTCTCAATCTATAAGGAGGAACCGCAGTAGACAAAAGGCATTGCTATAGCAACACGTCATGTTTATATGAAAAGGGGTGGGGTCAATATGACCCGCTTGGCGGAAATAGGTATAAATGGCAATTTTTTGGGTGATTTCTTCAATCTGACTTCATATTGACAATTTTTAACAACAGAGGGTGGTACATAACACACTTTCAGGAAAAGTCACGGACTGGGAGACTTTAATATTTTATTGAAAAAAAGTTACATCAAATATAAAACAGCTCGGGGTCAAATTGACCCCGTTGGCGGTTCTAGTGTTAAAGGTGGGGTAGGTAATTTTGGAGAAACCAGCTCGAGTGCGTAGAATTTGAAAATACACAACCGGAGAAAATCTGCCACTTCCTTACAGAGCCCCTCCTCCAACACACACGAACGCGCACATGACCAATGAGGGCACGAGATAAGTTTGTGCACAGATGGAAAGCTGACAGGCAGGTAGGCCATCCAGTTATTTTAGCCGGGCTGGCTAAAATGATTGGTCGTGCTTTTTACAGTATTACGGCTTCCACAGATGACATTTTGTTATGGATTTTTTGTCAAAGCACTTAAGATATTCATTGCTATCGGGATGTTAAGAGCATTCCATGGAATATAACAAAAAGTGTATCTCGAGCCGGTTTCTCAAACTTACATACCCCACCTTTAAGTACTGTAATAATTGCAATTTTGAGGTAGTTGTACTTATACGTTATATTTCCTGCTGCTTTGTACTAATACTTCACTACAGTTCACAGGATTTTTATATATATAAAACAAGTAATTTAACAATTGTTATTACAGGTTAAGATAAAACTGAATTAAAAGTCACAAACTACAATGTAGCAACAAGTGATGAACACATTAAAGCTTAAATAATTATTATCCAATTATATAATACTATTCTCAAATTTGCCTTTTTGGTACTTGTGTGAGTTTATTTTGATGCTATTACTTTTGTACTTTTAGTAAAATCTTGAATGCAGGACTTTTACATGTAACAGTGTACTTTTTATTATGCAATTATAAAACTTTTTACACCTCTGCCAACATTTATTTGTCTTACATCAATGTTTACTATTATAGTTTGTTGTCTTATGTCTGATGTTTCGTCTCTAGGTGACAGACATGATGCAGAAAGCTCTCTTTGACTTCCTGAAACACAAGTTTGAGGGCAGGTAAGAGTGAGACCATCTGCTCTCTGCAGCCATCATGTACTGTACGCTCTGCTTTAACTGGTTTCTGTTTGCCAACCCGGTAATGACTGCTGTACTGGATATCCGTTTCAGGATATCCATCACCCGGGTGACAGCGGACATATCTCTGGCCAAACGCTCAGTCCTCAACAACCCCAGCAAACACACCATCATTGAACGCTCCAGTACCCGATCCAGCCTGGGTAAGACTACATACAGCCACTTTGGATCTGCACAAATCACAGCCAAACAAAAATGCCATTAACTTCACAGTTCAGACATTCATTGGACTCTTATTTTGTTGTTTGAATAGTCATAAAGCACTTGATAAAATATTGCAGTGCAGAACAAGCAAACGGAAAATATTTATTTTCCTCACATCATGTTGCAGAACGTACATTTTAAGTGTTTTCAATGTCTGTGTTTCATATGTTTACTGCTTTCATTGTGTTTCTTGATAGAAAGGTGGAAAGATAGATAGATAGATAGATAGATAGATAGATAGATAGATAGATAGGTGGAAAGATAGATAGATAGATAGATAGATAGATAGATAGATAGCAAAGTTGGCAAAATCCTTCAAAGAAAGTGTAAATGTTCCCCCCTTTTATACCCCTTTTTGTCTGAGTCTGATCTGGTCTCTCTCTTTCTTCATCCTGTCTTTTCTGCCCATCACCCAATCTTCCTTCCTACTCTCCCACCTCCCATTTTCTTCTTGTTCTTCTACTCTGTATTGATTCAGACGTACTGGGTACGTATGCTCTCCTTGCAACAAAACAATGAAGCCTCTCCTTCCTCACTTCCCTTTTCTTCTCACTTTATTCATCATTTGCTCATACATCATTTGTCTGCTCGTCTGCTTGCCTGTCAGTTTCTCTGTTCCTCATACTTCTGTTTGACAGCCTGTAGTCTCTAACAAAAGAAAAAGTATTACAAAACCAAAGCAGGGAGAGATCTGTGGGAGGGCAACAGGGCGGCTGGCAACCGCTCTAAACTGAGCGGGAATGAGCAGAGATGGAAGCCGATACTTTCCATACTGCTCTCCCCCTTTTTTTGACTAGGATAATCCATACTGTCTCTGAGCAATCATACAAGGATAGCCTCTATAAAAGCTGGACCTTGCCTCATGCACTCTTTCTGGTCATGGCAGGGGAACATGTTTCTCTGTGAAGTTAAATCCAAATTTGCAAAAGTCTTTGTTGAGGTAATGAAAACCTTGCCAGCTATTTCTTTATATGAGTTAAAGTTCATGAGTCTTATCACTCGGCTGAGGCCCTGTTTTTTTGCCTCCATCTTGAATTCTTTATGCTTCAGCCCTCTGGAGGCTGCTGCAGTGTGTGCAGCCCCGGCTCTCTGCAGATTGCCTTGCCCCCGTTATCTCTCCCTGGCACTGGTTTGGCAGCGCCCACGCCTCAGAGGGGCCGAGGTTTGCCCAGACAGGCGAGGTTTCCAATTCTTGTTTTCAGTTTTAGTCTCTCTCCTTACACGTCAACAGGCTGATAAAAAAAACACGGGTGGGGGGACTGTGCTCAAAATGCTGAATAACAAGCTCTTATAGGCTGTTGTTGAGGAACAATGAAAACAAAACACCCAAGCAGTGCAGAGACTTGAGTGGTTCACCTGATAAAATAATGACTGCTGTGCCCATTAGCGCTAATAACAACTAATGTTCCACCTAATTTGTTTTGAGAGGGTGTTTTTTTCTGTTTTATTTACATGGTGAAAAATCGTGCTCTTATTACAAGTGATTACAAGGCATCTCATTCTTAAGTGCCTCCTTCCTTTGAAATAAAGAAAGATCAGAAGAACATAAGGTAATGTTGAGAGGTGGCAACAGAATGAGGATGCTGCTCTGTTCCATTTAGCATTGCATAAATGGAACTTAACTGTGATCCAATCTAATTCATACGCTTGGAAATGTTTTTTTCTAAAATCTTAATCATGCATGATTTAGTACAAACATGTTGGTTATGTACTTATGGCTGATATACACGGCTACATCTCCTCATAGTTAGCAGAAGATTACACAATTGTTTTGCCTTCTCGCTGAACTTACCTGTGTGTTCTGTGTGCTGGGCCTTCAGCGGAGGTGCAGAGTGAGATCGAGCGTATCTTTGAGCTGGCCCGCACTCTCCAGCTGGTCGCCCTGGATGCAGACACGATCAACCACCCCTCTCAGCTGGCCAAGACCTCCCTGGCTCCCATCATTGTCTATATCAAAATAGCCTCACCTAAGGTATGGCGATACATGAGTCTTAAATCAAAGCCCTATTTATGAGTTTCATTTGTTAGCATTACCCTTGAAATGTAATTATATTCTGTATAAAAGTGCTGTAGGAATAAGTCTTTAACCCAGAAATGAGTTTTTGCACTTCTGGTTTCCTCAACTCAAACGCTCTTGTGTTTGGGATTCGCAAATGTTAAAGGTTTGATGTCTAAAAGAAGGTTTGTGTTTAACACAGGCTTAAGAAATGTTAAGATTTTGTTCTTTTAGATAATATATGTCCATAAATGCCCTTGTGAATGTTGAAGCTTTAAGGTGTCATACAAAAATGGTTTCTAAATTAGGCTACAGAGGCTGTGAGGGTCATCTAACATACTCAAACAGGCAAGGTTATCCACTTAGTGGTGATCAAGTAAAGTCATGCAACCTTTTTGTAGCTTGTTTATAGTTTTTGGTTATTACATTTACCTGTATTGAAGGAACCAGACCAATACTTTATCTCTGCAGCACTATATTTTGTTAGCTGGATTACATTTGCCTACCTACCCCTACCTATAACATTGCTTTATTAGATTCTCTGAAGGGTTTTTGTCTCCCTGCAGGTCCTCCAGAGGCTCATCAAATCTAGGGGGAAATCCCAGGCCAAACACCTAAATGTGCAGATGGTGGCAGCAGACAAGTTGGCCCAGTGCCCACCTGTGAGTATGCTTTGTGACCTGAGTAATAAAATAACACTTCCTATAATATAGATAGGAAAGGAACTGCAAAGTTTGGTGTATGTTGGTGCTATAAGGGGAAGATTTTAGAGTATGAGAAAAACTTGTTTTGTTAAAAGAGCCTTTTAAATGTATTTTACAATTCTACACATTCTGCGATACAGTACAGGTGAAAATAATAAATGTTTTCGATCCCAAATACTCTGCAAGAAGACATTATAGAAACAAAATAATTGAAAAATTGAAAAGTGCAAGAAGATTATGTTTTTGCCTGTATTGTCTCACCTTAATAGTAATTGTATTTCTGTGCAGGAATTGTTTGACATCATCCTGGACGAGAACCAGCTAGAGGACGCCTGCGAACATCTGGCTGACTACCTGGAGGCGTACTGGAAGGCGACACACCCCCCGAGCAGCAACCCCCCCAACCCTCTGCTGAACCGCACCATGGCCACAGCAGCTCTGGCCTCCTCCCCCGAGCCCGTCTCCAACCTGCAGGTACAGGTGCTCACCTCCCTGCGCAGAAATATGGATATGTGGCCTGACATGGACGGTCCTTTAGCCAATGAGAGGAAAGAGGAAGAACATGCTCTCTGAAGTCCAACATAGAGGGCAGGGGGGGGGGGGACTCTGGTACCTCAACCACAACCCAGCAGCCTGAAGGAAAAGTGCATTAAAACCCTGTCGATGCTGTATATAGAAACACATACACACTAGCACACCTGACACGTAAATGAGCCAAATTCACACACATGAACAGCTAGCTTTAAGAACACCCACAAGAGAGATTACATGTATGTTAGCAGGTCAGCGTTACCTTGCCAACGCTGTTTAAACTGTGAGAGCAAACCACACTGGACTTAAAGAGTAACTCAGCTCTGCCGTTGGGGGCCCCTCCATATTGCTGTAATGAAGAGTAAAAGGATATCTGCTGCCCCCCACCCTGCCCTCTTTAGCTCTGTGGCCTCCTCTCGCCGCCACTTTTTCTTCTCTGGGAGGCTGAATCCAGATTGCTGTCTTCCTCCGTGTTGCTATGGTACCGGCCCGAAAACAGCAAGTCATGTCCGCCTCTTCAGACAGAAACGCTTTGTTTCGTTGGAGGCCGTTGCTAACACTGTGTCCACTTTAATCTTTTTATAATCCAAATATTAATTTGGTGTGTCTCTACTCATAAGTTACGACTGGCTGCACATTCATTTATATGAGTTGCACATTGTCATAGATATTTGTGTCACCCGAGCAGCAGAATTTCAACAAATGGCTTAAAACATGTTTTATATTTAATTCTACCATTTTTATTGATGCTGTCTTAGAAGCATCAACAAAAAAGTCCAAAATAACATCCAGAAACCGTTGTTGTATTTTTTAAATTTACGTGAAATTGTTTCAGTCTTAACATCATGTGCTGCAGAGTTAAATTAATAACTATATAATAGTTATTTCTGCTTTATTTCTGCCATGAGGTCAATCTGCCAGAAGGTGGCACTGTCATGTTAGATATTCAGACTGCTTGTGTGTGTGTGTGTGTGTGTGCAAAGTGAAAACCAGGAATGTGTGAGTGTGTGATATAAATAGGTTGATGTCAGTCATGAACACTAACGCTTTCAGAACCACAGGTCCTTCAGCGGGAACATCACGTTCTGTGTTGAATGCTCTGCCTCCTGCTAACTAAAGCTGCAACAAATAGTGGATCGATAGAAAAAGAAATGCCAAATATTTGTACAACCTAACCTAAACACTTTTGCATGTAACTATGGCAGAAAATGCTGTTTTTCAGCCTCTCTAATAAAGAGTTGTTTTGCTTTTCTATGTTAAATGTTATATTCAATTAGTAGCTCTGGGTTTTGACAAAACAAGACATTTCAAAAATATAACCTTTGACCTTTGAGAAACTCAGACTGACCAATTGGTTAATAGATACATCCACAAAAATAATTTGCAGTTTAATCTATAATGAAATTAGTTGGTTTCAGTCTTAATGCTAAGCCTGCCTACTAACCACTGACAGTTTGGTCTTGCTCTGCTGTTTGTGTCTCTGCATGGTTGCTGTGTGGCATGTCTGGCTGCAGGGGCCGTACCTGGTGCATGGGGAGCAGAAGCGAGACGGGCCCCTGACAGAGTGTGGCGGGAGCGGCACCCTGCAAGACTATCAGACAGACCTGGGAGGAAAGCCTCAGCAGCAGCAGCAGCAGCAGCAGGCGTACCTGCGCTCTTCTCGGGGCCAGCTGCGGGGGGGCAGCGGCCGGGGGCTTTCCCGGCAGGACACCTTCGACTCTGAGACCCAGGGCAGCCGGGACTCCGCCTACACCGAGGCCGGCGACTCCTGCATGGACATTGAGACTGACCCCTATGAAGAGCCCGAGCCCTACCGAGGGGGAGGGGGCAGCCGCCTCCACCTGGCGCAGCATCACGGCAGGCAGGCATCCTGGGAAGACGAAGGTGCCGAACCGGACCAGGAGAACCTGAACCACCCTCCGATGCCGAGCCAGACGCAGCCACACGGACGCGCCAAGCTGAGGGAGCGCTACTGCCAGGAGCCTGTGGACACCGGGGCCAACATGAGCCGCAACAAGAACCAGGACGACTGGGGGAGGGACGTCTACATCCGCTGAGCATCACCACGCAGAGGGAAGGAAGCTACTGGACAGACTGAGAGATGGGGGAAGGGTGGGGAGGGTTTCAGGTATTGTGTGGGTTGGGGGCCATGCCAGTCAGGCTGACAAATAAATCTGTTTACATCCCAGTGCAATGTAAAGAGAAACAGATGCCATTCATCAACTTCTTGCAATTCAATTTATTTATGTTTAGAAAAAATTATATTGTTCTGTTTTTTGTTTCCTTACTGCATGAATATCATGTATTTCTATACTGACAGCACGAGGACAGTAATTGTGAATCTCTGATTGTGATCGATCTCTCCTTCAGTTGTAGTGTGTGACGGCCGGTAGAGCTGTAGTCTGTCCTGTCTGTCCTCTGCAGTCTTAAACAGGGTCTAATGTCACTGTCCCCACGTACAGCACAGTGTCAGGGTTTCTCTTTACCTTAATCTCACTCAGTGATTTTGGATTTCAGAAGTTACAAGTCCCTCAGCTCCACGTTCTTATCACCCAGACCTTAAAAAAGAAAGTTGGTGGAGAAGTTGCCATATTTTAACACAACAATTTATCGATGTTGCTATGTTCATGCTTGATAACAACAAAGAGTACACTCCAAAGATGTTTACTTCTTCTTCCCTGACCTGGTTCAGCCACTGCACCCGTCTGTCTGACCTAGTCCTCCCGTTTCTGTTTTCCTCTTCCCTGTGGGTCCCGAGAGCGCCTGCAGGATTCATTTTCTAACGTGGTGCAAATTCAAAGCAGCACTGCTATTGTAGTTGTGTGAATGAAGTGTCCTGCCTTAGTCACTCGCACCCTAAAACATCCTTATTTCAAGAAATCTCCAATCACAAGTGCCGGAATGTCTTGCCAAGCCATGTCCACCCCTGCCACGGTGGGATGTCTTAACTCTTGTTACTCTCATCCCATGTTTGTGTCTCTTCGTGTCTTGTGGCTTCTCTGCACCGTAGCTCATGCTGTGGCTCCAGCACGTTGCTCATGTCGTTACTTTTCCTTTGCACCAGCTTTGTCGTCTGTTTTTCAGGGCTAATGGTTATATATAAAAAAAGTGCTTGTGTGTGTGGTAAATCACTCCTGACTTCCACCCAAACAGCTAGCTTTTCTGATATTAAATACCACTTTCTTCTTACTCTTGATTTCTGACTGAAATAGTGTTGTTTTTTCCTGTGAACATTTGCTTTATTTTTATTTTAAATCTTCAGTTCTTGTGAGGTATTGAGATGAGTATCAAGTGGGGTGGGGGGGTAGGACCAGCTTTGGTCTTCACTCAGTTATCTATAATGGAGAGTCCATGAATGTCTTTGGTGGGCCGCTTGGGCCCGCCCGTCTTCAGTTGAATAAATAAATATTAAATAATGATCAGTAAATAATGTTATTGTTGCGTTATCGCAATTGTTAAAAATATGAACTAACATGTATCATTGGTGCCTGATTGTAGCTACATTTTGCTTTTTCTGCCTTTCATTTTTAATCTGTGGATAAATTCGTATTTTAATTAAAAATGTAATCAGAAAATGCAATTGTGTCACTTAATTGATACGGTGAGATGTGAAGACACACTTCACAGACGCACAACCTGCATGTGTATGTCAACATGTGTGTTTGAGTGATGTATTTTATGTCTTAGAGCTTATAGTTAGGGGAAGTCCATTCGATACAATTGATTAATATTTGTTTCTCTTCCTCGTAAACTGAAACTACATCTTCCTTATTTCATTCACATCATTATTAAAACCAAAGATGGGAATCAAATCATTCTATGTCTGATATAAATCCTAATTTCTCCATGCTCTTAGAACCAGTCAAAAATGCTTTTATTAACTGCAAAACTTAAACAAAAGCCACATTGTTTGATTCCTGAAAACACACAGAACCTTTAACAGAACATGACAAGAACAGAAAATGCTCTAAGATTGTTGTCACTTTATTGTTTTCACATTGATATACACTGAAACTGTTACCTCCTAAGCTCTCTGATTGCATCGATGACACCCGAGAAGTCTTCGGGTCGTGGAGGAAACGCTTTGAGAAAGCCACATAAGTCAAACGTTCTGCCGGTCCAGGATGTGGTTTTATTTTCTCATGTTCAGTGTTTTTGTCATGTTATCTGCAGTGGAGGAAATGTCACAAACACGGACACTGTTTCCATCTGATAACTAAACGTAAGTGTTATTTAACAACATGTGGAGGCTAGAGCCCAGTGTAAAAATACTATAAGACAGCTCAGTGGAAGAAGTATTTATATGTTTTTTCTTCAGTAAAAGTATCAATGTCACACTGTACAAACACTACAAGTAACGTGATTTTAGTGAAGAGAATAAAAACACAGCAAGTATTAAAAGTACTCATCATAAAGAATGACCCCTTTTAAAAATGTTTAATAATATATATTATATTGTGATCTCATATAGTATAAAATGTTCCATGTTTCTTCTGAAATATAATGAAGTAGGAGTATAAAGAAGCTTCAATTGAAATAGTTAAGTACAGTGGAGTTGCTTTCAAGTTTCATACTCATGAGCAAATCAAAATGTTCATTCAGTATTTATTTAGAGTATACAAACGGCAGAGTCGCACACTCACAGTACAATGACTCTTTGTGTACATTGAACATGTCTAACAAATAAACAAAAAAATAACAATATAAATGTAACAATCAAAATCAAAATGTATCAACTGAGGAAATAAACCAAAAACTAAAATGTTATTGTAATAGATTGTGTTTAAAATGTGGGTTAACCTCTTAGGTAGATAAGGAACTGTACAAGTTGAATGTCCTCACTGAACAAAAAAGGTATTCTGGGATTGTTTGGTATTTAATTTAAAGAAATGAAATGGCCACAAACACTTTAAGTTGTGCTAGCTATTACAATGTTTGGTTAGGGTATATTATTTTAGAGTGCAGTAGGTTAGTACTTGGAAAACACCTTCCCGAATGTTGGAAATCACGGGGATTTTCTTTAAATACCAGTTTTGCTTTCTGTTGCTTCATAATACAGACAGAGGAAGGAACCTAGTTTTCCTTCTACTCCATATATGGACAGTCCATGTGTGTCATTAGTTGCGTCATCAGTCCACTCCTGTCGTCGGTGTCTATGTTGCCTTCACGTGTTCCTGAATAAACTCTTACTTATGAGCTACAATGGTAAAGTAGGATTGTTGATACATTTTCTTTGAGTTTAAAAATATGAAACACCTTAAAGGCTATTAGTCAAATAAACCTGGAGGACTGGATCTACTGTATGGATGTTGTTGGAAAAAATATGTTTTAAATGTTCAGTAGCTACGAACCGGTGACGCTGTGATACTGTTGAAGAGACTTTAGAAACATATTTTTCATTCTAAACTGATAATAATTTACACTTAAAGCCTATTTAATGGTTTGAAATTATGTTGAGCTGTCATATAATTTAAAAGAGATGTGAGGTTTTAAATCTAAGCAACATGTGTATGTCACGCCTTGAAGCTAAGTGAGTAAAAAAAGAAACAACTACGCTATTTATAAAATAATATGTATTTATTTTATTTTCAATATCCTATATTTCATATACGACGTCTACATTAATCCTTATTTGATCATATAAAATATAATTAATTACATAGGCTGACCAACTGGTGTGAATACCACCTTTATTTTTAACCAAAATGTTGTATTGTTTCAATCAATATTTATTGCTTTATTTACTCTATCAGCTTTGGCTAGGTATAGCCTACAAAATAATCAAGTTGTAATGTAAAGCCAATAATATTTGTGGTAATTCAGACATTTCCAACGGCACATGAACGCACCATTACTATGCCCTTCGTCCGTGAGTCACATTTTTAAGAGGGTTTCTAGGCGCCACCCACTCACGCAATGGAGCAGTAGAAAGCGATATCACATAAAGGAATTCAGGTTAGTTTGCTAGTCAGCAGTTTACACTGAAGTGTGTCTCCATCAGGTCGGGTTTACTGGATCTTATTGTGTTCGTTGCTCACATCTCACACTTGTTGAATATGGGATTTATTCTGACCAAGATGCTGTCTGTCTTCGGTGACACAGGTAAGATAAAGTTCATTTCAAACGATATTTGGTGTCAAGTGTTGTTACTTTTAAAACGCTCTCCAATTGTTTAAGTATAGCATATCCTGAAATAATATGTTGAAAATTGACTAAATAACTATAAATAACTATTGTTTTCATGTTGCCTATCACAATAACACAATCATTGGTGGAAAGTCAGTACAGTAACGTTACCTTTTAATATACATGATTCAACTCTTAATTATGATGATGTGTTTTTATAGAAAAAGCTACCTTTGAGTCTATAAGGTAATTAAAATAAGCTACACTTTTACGGGTTGCAACATAACAGAGATATCTATATTAATACGATTTTCATAATTCATAATCCTATCCAATTTATTTAGGCCAAGATGTCGTTCAGCACTGGTCACTGGTTAACGTTTCTTCTCTTTTATCACTAAACATATGAATGTTCTTTTATTCAGAGTGACTTACAGTAAAAGTAACTCTGTCAGCAGTTGATACACAGCACATACCTGGTATTGTTGCCATGCAGTGATGTAACAACTTTACTTTGAATAACAGACGTCTGTCTGTCCTTTATCTTATCTGTGTGTACTTTTTCTCTTGTTTTGCTCTGAAATGAACTATGCAACTCAAGATTAGAAGTGTGTTCTAATGAGAATGAAAACATGTTTGCACTGGGTACATATAATCTACTTTTCTTCCCTCAGAGCACAAAGTAATCATTGTGGGTTTGGACAATGCTGGGAAGACAACCATCCTTTATCAGTTGTAAGTGATTTAGCACAATTTTTCGACTTAAATAGTGTCATATAACCATAATATATGCTGAATATCTGTATTTATAATGTGGTTTTTTTCTCTGCACAAACAGTCTGACAAAAGAAGCTGTGCACACATCACCAACCATCGGCAGCAATGTTGAGGAGATCACCGTACGTAAAACACACTTCTTGGTCTGGGATATCGGAGGACAGGACAACCTTCGAGCCAGCTGGTACTCGTACTACGGCAACACAGAGGTACGGATCACTTCCTGTCTACAGCAGCACAGATAAAGGCACTGAATCACAATTTACAGTAACAAATAAATCATAAAGGTCAGAAACATGACATGTTGCTGAGGCATTTATCCAACGTCCCCCCCCCCCCTAAAAACACATTGAATCTTGCTTTTGAACAAGAATTGATCATTGACTTGGTATGATATCAGATATCCAAGTCAGAAAAGGAAAGCATTTATTGGCTTGTGTTGATGTAGCTTTTGCCCATTAACCTATATTTTTTTATTTAATTTGGGGATAAACCCCTTAATGCCTCATCTTATTTCTAACGGTGGCCCTTAAATAATGAAAATATTTAAAACCAGTCAACAACATAACACAATACACATAAGCGTTCTCCTGCAATGTAGAACACAATAATAAAAAAACATTTGTCAAAGTACAGAAAAAGTTACTTATCACCATTACATAATCACCTATAATATATTACATATGTCTGCAGAAGGTTTCTTGTTCCCCCCTCCTGATAATACAAGCTCTGATAATATGAGGTTTATGTGACTGTGTTGCTTAAATCTGATTTAATAACTTCTCTTTCAGATTGTCATTCTGGTTGTGGACAGCACCGACCGTGAACGTCTCACACTCACCAAAGAGGAACTGCACCAAATGCTTGCACATGAGGTACAAATCAAGCTGTGTTGACAGATGTTTGTTATTTCATGAGTAACAATCATTATGGTCCAGATGTTACCACAAATCAGTCTTTACATTAGATTAGATTACAGCAGCACAGAGGTGCAGAGGTACTTTTGGTTCTGCATTCAACATGTTAACTAGTACAAAAAGTCTTGACATCATATTATATGTTGTAAAGTACTACTTATGCAGAATGGCTATTAGAGTCAGGATAATGTATGTTACTGGATTGGATAATATGGATGCATTTTAATGTTCTCATTTTTATTTAAGGTTTTATTTCTTTGCTAATTTGGCTCTTTTATTATCATTTTCCTTTTAGTTTGTTATTTTTGTTCCTTGATGCCTAGTTTTTTTCCTTTATTAATTTAGTCAGATATATTTTTAATGATGTGTTCAATGATATTCTAATTTAAAACAAAGGTTGAATGATATGTGGGTCTAATTTAAATTATTTTACATGCGGCTTGTGAATTTCCAACCACTGATGATCACATGTTATCTTATCTTAATGTATAATGCTACATCCTAATTCATTTTTGTATTACTTATTTGCATTGACAATCTCAATCCACAAGGAAACTTAGACAATCAATGTTATGTGGCAGAGCAGGAAGTTTGAAATGCAGTTAATTATCATAAAGCAGAAAGGAGCAGGAACTTAAATAACTATAACTAACGTATACAAGTACCTCAAATTGTACTGAAGTACATTCCGTGACAGCAGCAGGGTTAATACTTGACGTAAAACCCTTTTGTTATTCTGTCTAGATGTCAGAGATACCCACCTGCTTTTACAGTAACTAATTAAAGCCGTGACACAACGTGATGAGGAAGTTTTGGCTCAGACTTTGTGAGTCAGCGTGTTGACATGTGTCTGAATTTTCCGCTGACGTTTATGTTCTCTGTTCTCAAAAGTTGACGTTGGGTCATATTTGGAGTTTCCATTGGAAACACTTCAGCTCTTTAGATACAAATACAGAAAGCAACATTGGTAACCCTTCTGCTTTTTTTTTTAGGAACTACAAAATGCAGCTCTTCTTATTTTGGCCAACAAACAGGACGTGAAGGGCTCGATGACGGCAGCAGAGATCTCGCAGTGCCTCACACTCGACTCCATCTCATCACACCCCTGGCATGTTCAAGCCTGCTGCGCCCTCACAGGGGAAGGGTGAGTCTGCCTAACGTACCTCACACTTTCTCCTCCTTTCTGCTTTCATTGTTCCTGGAAATGCTTTTCTCAGGAATAACCCATTGGAATGTAACTTTTCAAGAACACAGAATAATAAGACAGTAAGACATTGTAAAACTGAGACTTGTAAAAATGTATAAATATTGAAATAAATGTAGAAGTTGCAGAGAAAAAAACAGTTAACAAAATAAACACAGCAGAAAAAAGTGATGACACAAATGGAACATACATGCAAACAAACACAAATTGTATATCAATTGTTTACAGATAGATTATTTCAAACATAAAAAAGCTTGCTTAGCTAGAGTTAGTCTGAACAACAACATGTGTTTAGAAACATTTCATTCTGTATTAAATATTTCCGTCACTCAAAATGCTTTCTTTCTCTCCGTTCTCTCCCAGTCTACCTGCCAGTCTGGACTGGATGAAGTCTCGGGTTGTTGCAAACTAGAAGAACGCACTCCAATGGATGAAACGTCCTCAATCTGAGCCAACATAGAAAGGCCCTGCAGAGGCCTCAGTATCTGTATATTGACTGTTTTTGGGGCAAAGTCCTCTGAACACGGCATCTGTGATAGAGCCTGCTGCGCCGCGCCACACCTTTACAACCAAGGCTTGAGGGTGGAGGAGCAAAGGAGAACCCTGGGTGATCCTAGAGTCGGTTAATGTTCACCATTATCTATAAATGTGTACTGTTTTTGTACTGTTAAAGAAGTGCTTGGATATATTTTAATATCCATCTTGAGGCAATAAAAGGCAGATTTATTTATGGAACACATTTAAGACACAAAGCAATTCAAAGTGCTTTACATAAAACTTCAAAGCATTAAGACAAAGTGCATAAGAAACATACCACAAAATACATTTCAATACAATTAAAAGCCGTCATTAAAGGGCCAAGAGGATACAAAATAAAACAAACTAAAAACAGGAACAGAATACAACTGTAAATGTAACAGTGCAGTGTGAAGTTATCACATTGAACAAAAGGCAGCGAAACACAGCACAGTCTCCAGGCTTGATCTAAAGACCTCAGGGTTAAAGCGGTCCCAGATATTTGGTCCATAAATCTTCATTGCTGAACTCCAAGTTGTTCTCAGTTGTGGTGACGTAGATGAGAACTACTAGGGAGTGTTAATGTCCTAAAGGGACCCACATAGAGAGGCTCCCTGACCAGATATATCACATTCCTCGTTTCTGTCACAATGGGCTTCTTTCATTTCACTGGGGTTATTTTTAAAAGTATAATCATTAAAGTATCAATAATGTATTCATTACTGGAACTAAACAAGTTTTACCAAATATGTGACAACCTACACAGAGGTTGTAGTCCGGTTTATCCCATATTTTAATGTCATCAAGCTAATCCAGTGCCCTTTTATTCCTCTCGTGCCAACACATTAAGCCTTAAGTGAGACAACCATGATCTCATCTTGACCTTTGATTCTCGTCACCAATTACTTTCTCTGTTAGTTAACATGAACTACTCCTTTTTCAACCTAAATAGTACCTACACTAGTTACAAAACAGCTGCCTAGTATTAAGCCTCTTCCAATGGAAGACTTTTACACAATAACTGTGGTGAAACTTTACAGCACATACCGTACCTCCTGTGGCCAAAGAAAGCCTGCAATATTAGGATACAAGTCTGCCCCTAATGTATACATTGTTATCAAACGCCATTGAACAACAGAAGTATTTTGTCAAGACATAAACATGTTTAGTAAATTATTTCAAGAAAACAAAGCTCTTGAACTGTATATTACAGCAAATTCCTGAATAGGAAAATGAGCTGGCTGCTAAGTACTATGAGTCGTATTTTTCAAGTATGTATACTGTATTGTGTAATTGCCTTTTTTGAATAAACAGTATTACAAATATGCAGTGGATGTGTTTTCTATCTTGCAGCTGTGATACTAGACTCTGGTCTACTGTAGCATATAAGCTCTATTATATATATCCTTTATTTAAGTAAAAAGTCTCATTGAGATAACAATCTCTTTTTCAAGAGCGACCTGGCCAAGAAGGGCAGGATGAACAAAGTTACAACAGATAAAACACAGACAATACAGGCAGACGAATACAGTGGTCGTAAAACACAAATTAAATGGCACATTAGCCAGTCGATATGCAATTAAAAGAAACTATTATAAATCATTAAAAACTGGCAAAATGTAAAACAACTTCAATTATGGGATATACGAGATCACATCGACCAATGGATTCTTGTTCTCTGTCCTTTAGATGGACTTAAACTCCCCCATAGTGATCAAATCTGAGAGTTTCAACTCCTTCTGTATATTATTCCATGCAGAAGGGGCAGCATATTTAAAAGCTTTTTTACCCAGTTCTGTTCTCACTTTAGGAACCAACATCTGAATAAAATCTTGGGAGCGCAGGCCATATAGACTTTGTTTTTTACACATATAAGAGGGAACCAGCCCAAGCAGAGATTTATATAAAACCCAACAAATGGGAAAGTCTGCGTGAAGACAAAGATGGCCAATTAGCAGCAGCATACAAAGTGCAGTGGTGTACACGATATCCACATCCAGTAACAAAACGTAATGCACAATGGTACACAATATCCAAGCTCTTTAGGCACTGGTCAGAGGCATTCATGTAAAGCAGATCACCATAATCCAAAACCGGTAAAAACGTTGCAGAGATCAAATATTTCCTTGTCTGAAAGGAGACACAGGATTTTTCTCTGTTAAAGAAACAGAATTTAATGTTTTGCTTTGAAACAACATTTTCAGTTTGTGACTTGAAAGATAAGTTCTGATCAATAATAAAACCTAGATATTTGTATGTAGTGACTCTTTCAATGTCAGTCCCTTGAGCAGTACAAATCTTGGGGAGAATAGAAGTTAACTTTATGCCATTTGAGAATATCATGAGTTTGGATTTGTCTGCATTTAATACTAACTTGTGTTGAGATAAATGGGATTGAATAACATCAAAGGCAGACTGGAGGAAATCAAGACTTTGCTTTATAGAAGAGGATGAACAATAAATAACAGTATCATCTGCATATTATTTTTGTTTGTGCTACACAACTATAGGTAATCTTAAAGAATGAATAATTAGTCTTTAAGAAATGGTAGCCTTTTTTCTTTCGAAAGTAGATGAGGAGAAAAAAAAATTGACAAAAGAGGGGGCATCCGGATTTGAACCGGGGACCTCTTGATCTGCAGTCAAATGCTCTACCACTGAGCTATACCCCCTTGTGCTCAGTAGATGTGGTGTGTTTGTTATTTAAACACTATTGACATCTGAAATAAATATGACTCCGTATAAATCGTGATCGTTCATATTATGTTTACTTTAACGAACTGATTTGTATTGACATTCGTGTCGTAGTCTTTAAATTGTATTTGTTAAAGGTACAAACCTGTCTGACCACATGGGGGAGAACTGAGCCAAGATTTGTGGCGATGTTCCGAGATGCTGACTTCTTGTCGGAGATCAAAGAATCCACCAAATTGAACGACAAATACGTCGTTTGGTATGTAGCCTATCTATGGAGGACAAAGCACAATAGAAGTGTTTCCTGCTCAGATGCCATCGGAATGACGTAATTGACTGTCCCGTCCACAACGTAGTAATTTCACAGAAAACAATAAATACCTTTTAATGAGACAACGCTATGATTAAGGTTTAGTCAGGTTGAGAAACTAAATGGACTTGGTTATGCTTAGTTACAGATCGTATTTCGGGTTAAATAGGTATTTAGGAAGGGTAAACAGTGGATTGAGTAAATTACACCTTGAGTAATTCAGACTTTTCGTTTGAATGATTACAATTAGGCCTAGTCTTAATAGTCAAGATAGGGTAACCCTACATGATGTTCTAAACATGAACAACATTTGCAACTAAAAGGTCGGTAGCCTACAAAACAACTTGTTGACTAAGAAAGTGGTCAAAACCAATCTAGCCTAGCCTATATGTTGACACAAAATAATCAAAGGCTAACTAAACATTCAAACTAGTGCTGTCATGTAAAAAGTAGGCTACATTTAAATAAATTAAGTAACTAGAAGCTTTCCTGCTGTAGAATACATAAGTACAATTGTGCAGTACTTGTAGGTAGGCTACTTGAACATAAGGTCTAATTTAGTATTTCAATGTTAAGCTACTTTGTAAGCCAACTTTTACTAGGCCTACATCTCAGAGGTAGATAATGAACGTTTTGCTTCACTCCACTTGGGAATTTAAATTACTAGTAAGTCTACTGCAGATTAAATACACATTTTAAATATATGTTAATATAGATTAAGCAGCCCAGCAATTGGCTATATAAAAACAAAAATTAAATCCACCATTACCAGCAGTGCAGTAATCAGTTTATGTCATTCAAATCACTGTCTGCAACCTTTTTTCAAGAACTTGAAACAAAGTAGTATTGCATGTTAACACACAGTTTTACAGTGGTTGAACAACAAATCCTAACGCATAAAGGCTTAAGTTACCACATGGAAAGGGTGATCTGACTGCAAGAAAATGTAGGATAATCTTAATGTAGCATAGAGTTCAAACTGATAGTGACATATTTTAGGTGGGCCTAAATAGACCGCCATCTACTGCAGGTAATACAATCACAATCTCAGAGTGATACATTATTATCTGTTTTTCCACATTTTGGCTTTTATTTGGATTATCCCTATCAGCACATGAACGAACAAGTGATGCTATGCTGAGTAAGTAAATCTAAATTGAAAGTTATTCCAACCTCTGTGTATTTCTTTGTTTGTTTAAAGCCATGACCTAATAAAAATGACACCTGCTGCTGCACATTGTACACTGTGCGTATGATATTATGAGATTAGGCACTGATGGACTTTCCAGCTGTGAATCCAATAAACAGTCAGCTGCCATTTTCTTTGCCAAGGACTCTGTATTTGCTCTCGAAACAGATACAAATTATGAAAGCTGTGGTTGAGTGGTGCAACAGCGCTTGTAACATACATGCCATTTTAAACTAAATGTACTTTACTTCTGGAAATTAAACTGCAGCAAAGAGACGTTTCTGTTCATTTTGGTCACAGAATATTGTTGTTAAAGTCAAGACAATGTATTAAGGAGTCATTTACAGACTTGACATGGAATGTATAATATTATAACTAGCATTTTTGTTTTGTTGTGTATCATGATGATAACCATGTCTAATCTCAGATGTCAGATTGCTCAATCCTCAGAGCCGGTTTGGACAGAAGGAGGCGCCATTCCCACTGCTGACAGTCAAACTCCAGTACATTTTTGAATCCCAAAGAGAGTAAAGCATAATTTTTATCAAATATAAATTAAAACTTGCTATCCAGGCCTTTAAAGTGTTCAGATGAAATACTTTCTCTTTTATGATGCAAAGCCTCATCAGCTGATCCTCGTGTGTTTACAATTACCACGACAGCATTGAGGAGGAGGAAACAGGGGTGGTGTGAGGAGAGAGAGGGAGATTTGGAGGGAGGACGAAAGATTCAGAGAAAAGTTGTTTTTGCAAAGAGAAGAAGAGGAGGGAGAAGAAAAGAGGAGCTGTTATTCTGTTGTTCTGTCTTTTTCTGGCCAACATGTGTTTCAGTTTGGTGATGCTACTTCTCTGTCTCTCCCAAGCAGAGCTGGGAAGAGTTCAACAGCAAACAGGTGAGCCTCCATCATCATTGCTTTAATATCTCCACCTTTCCGACTGTCTGGTCGTCACGGCGTCAAGTCACAGCGTCAAGTCACAGCGTCAAGTCACAGCGATGCTTAGGTTTACAGGTGTAAGTGTGCCTAACAGTTTTCTTTCTCTTGTGCTTAATTGGTACTTCATATTTTAAAGAATTGCAAATAAACACTGCATACATTTAATTTTACCTAATTAGTTAGTTAACATTCTTATTTATCATTTTGTATAATAATGTTGTGCTATTTTAACTCACTGTAGACCGCAGAGGAGTAGGAGTCTTTGTGGAACAGCAAACATGCATGCCATGCCCTTTTTATTTTACTCACAAGAATGAATGACCCAGTTTACAATAAAGTATACAATAAAAAATAACCCACAAACAGCTCGTCTCAGGTTTAAAATTAGATATTGAGTCTGTTTTTCTTCTTGACTCCCGGACCCTCCTAGACTCTGGCATAAAATGTCTGGAGGCTTTTCAAGCTGTCGGAGAGTAGATTTATCAGTTACCATCTTTGTTTTTTGAAATATATATCTATATATAAAGGTAGTTGAGGGGTGCAGAGTGTTATGCAGGAAGTGAGTTTGCTTTGGACATTCATATTAATTTATTTCTAGTTTTGAGGAATTTGACTGGTCACTCTCCTCGTATTGTTCTGCAGAGTGAAATGTGTTGCAGATGAAAACACGATACGACAGGAAGTGGTCAGATATATGCTTGCAGGATAAGGGGTCAGCTGTTCTGTATTGACCTAAAATATCCTCCTTTCCTTTGCCTAATTTGCTCTTAATTGCCTCTTCACTCAACATTATTTACTGCCTAGTTTTAAAAAATGACTCTGTTCCCGAGGGGGCCATCTACACCATCTGAACCAGTCTGTAATAACACCAAGCCCCAAGCAAAAGATAAATTGTGTACCCGCCAATGACCTCAGTGTTTGGCCTCTCATCTCTTGTCCTGCTGAAAGGTTTGCTTAACAAATAGCCTGAAGCTGATCCAGACAAGTTGGAGCTAAACTTGAAAAATGAGAAACAAAGTTAAACGTATTGTATTGTAAGACTGGAGTGGAGATAGGATGTTGTGGTCTGTGGATCTTAAATGTAATCTTTATTTTTATAAAAGTCAAAGGCAATTTAGCTTGTGATAATCAAAACATTCTTGTGTTTAAGGAAAAAGAAAGTGGCAAGAACAAAACGATTTATGTGCCAACAGCCGAG